TGATGTTACTTCTTCCATTCTTTATTCTTCTCATCATAAGTGAGAGTTTTTGTTTTCTAACAACAAGCGAGAGTTTATTACAAAGCAAATTATGCATCTTATCCTTACAATCCAGTCATGAATGGGATGGGAGCACTCGCACTAGCAGCATATAATCCGTATGTATGATATGTTGCGGAAATAATATTATTGTTATTGGATTTCCAATGCCACTTGAGTTTTAAATAAGGAATCTCTGACTCTGAGTGGCATCCATAATACATGTGAGTTTTATTGGTGTCCGAGTGGTTTTAGTTTCATTTGGCATATCCTTTCCTCCTTTTTCTCTTGTCTGGGACCAAATCAAACCAATGATGCAATGCAGCATTAGCATTTTCATTCCATCCAATCCAACTTCCAACTTCCAACAAAAATAATATGATACGAATTCCACTCCCACGTGAGTTTCCAAAACTGTATTTTTAAATAAGGAATCTCTCAGTGCCATGCCACGCCCACGTGAGTGTTTATTGGCGTCCGAGTCGTTTCATTGGCCCCCAACTACAATTTGTATTTCTTTATTATTCCTCGGAGGAGAAAATTTAAATAGCCAAGTACCATTCCATTCCATGCCAACCTATCAACGCCATTGGCACTGCAAATACTGCCTTTCCCAAAGTAGCAAAAGGAAAAATTCAGAAGCTCAGGCTTGCAACGATTGGGAAGATGAAAACATCCATTTGCATGCTTTCACTAACGCTGAAGCTGATGCTTCTGGTTCTCTCTCACAACATCTTGTGCACGGTAGCGGTAGCAGGAGAGAGAGAGCAGCGGATGAAAAAGACTTACATCATTCAGATGGACAAGTCCAAAATGCCTGCAAGTTTTGCCGACGACCATTTCCAATGGTATGGCTTCTCTTTGAAATCGGTGTCCAACTCAGCAGACATGCTCTACACCTACAAAAATGTTATCCACGGCTTCTCCACCAGGCTAACTGCTGAGGAAGCTGAGCTGCTTGAAAAACAATCCGGAATTCTTTCTGTTATGCCTGAGTTGAGATATGAGCTCCACACAACTCGGACGCCCCAGTTCCTTGGAATGTTAGGCGGCATAAACGAAGCCGTCTTCCCGGCATCAGAGAAACTGAGCAAGGTCATTATTGGAGTGGTAGACACCGGCGTATGGCCCGAGATCAAAAGCTACGATGACAAAGGGCTTGGGCCAGTGCCAAGAAGCTGGAGAGGGCAGTGTGAGGAAGGCAAGAACTTCAACTCCTCAAGTTGCAACCGAAAACTCATTGGTGCGAGGTTTTTCCCAAAAGGGTTTGAAGCATCAATTCTTGGACCCATTGATGAAAAAGTAGAATCAAGATCACCAAGAGATGTTGATGGCCATGGAACTCACGCCTCAACCATTGCAGCCGGATCTGCAGTTCCAGGAGCTAGCCTATTTGGTTACGCTTCAGGGACAGCAAGGGGGATTGCTACACAAGCTAGAGTGGCCACATATAAGGCTTGCTGGTCTGGTTGGTGCTTGAGCTCTGATATTCTAGCCGCAATGGACAAAGCTGTTGAAGATGGTGTCCACATTTTATCTGTGTCTATTGGGAGATCGCAGTATGAGGATTTATACACCGACTTTATTGCTATTGGAGCTTTCTCGGCCATGGCCAAGGGAGTCTTTGTATCGTGTTCAGCTGGGAGTCGCGGCCCAGAATCGGATAGTACATCCAATAATGCACCTTGGATAACCACCGTGGGTGCTGGAACACTAGACCGTGATTTCCCAGCATATGTTAGCTTGGGAAATGGGAAAAAATACAGAGGAGCATCAATTTACAGCGGAACACCCTTATCTAGTGGATTGCATCCACTTGTTTATGCTCGCAATGCAAGTAACTCCACAAGTGATCAATGCGCTCCTGACAGCTTGATTCCTGAAAAAGTTGTTGGGAAAATTGTGGTGTGTGATCAGGGAGGAACTAACAGGCTCGATAAGAGTATGGTGGTCAAAAAGGCCGGTGGCATGGGGATGATTTTGGCTGACATTGAAGGTTATGATGAAGAACAACTTGTTGTCGACTCATATGTCTTGCCTGTAGTCGTGGTTGGCCAAAAAGCCGGTGATACAATAAAAAGATATATTGCCTCCCACGACAATCCAAAAGCCACATTTTCTGTCGGGAAGACAGAGTTGGGTGTCGAACCCTCACCGGTGGTGGCAGCATTCAGCTCTCGAGGACCAAATCCAATCTGTGTAGAACTACTCAAACCAGACCTACTAGCACCAGGAGTGAATATCCTAGCTGGGTGGACTGGTGCAGTTGGACCAAGTGGACTCGCTGAAGACACCAGGCGGGTGAGCTTCAACATTCTTTCAGGTACATCTATGTCATGCCCACATGTGAGTGGGCTGGCCGCGGTTCTCAAGGCGGCTCACCCAGAATGGAGCCTTGCAGCCATTAAATCTGCTCTCATGACCACATCCTATGCAACGTACAAAAATGGCAAACCAATCGAAGACGGTGCTACTGGAAAACCTGCAACACCATACGATTATGGTGCCGGGCATGTGAACCCGGTGGCAGCCCTTGACCCAGGCCTTGTTTATGATCTTACAGTTGAAGATTACCTAGGCTTCCTTTGTGCCCTGCGTTATCCAACAGAAGATATCAAGAAAGTCACTCACATGGACTTCACCTGCGATTCGAACAAGAATTATCGTGTTGAAGACTTTAATTACCCATCTTTTAGTGTTGCCATATTCACTGCAGACCCAGCGGGTAATAATAATATTACTGGACCAACCACTGTAAAATACACAAGGACCCTGACCAATGTGGGTACTCCAGCAACATACAAGGTGTCAGTTCCTACACAGACACCTTCAGTGAAGATCTTGGTTGAACCAAAATCGCTGAGTTTCACTCGACCATATGAGAAGAAGACTTATACTGTGACTTTTGTGGCCAGTCCTATGACATCTCGTACAAATAGCTTCGGTCGCTTGGAATGGTCTGATGGCAAACACATAGTGAGTAGTCCTATTGCCATCTTCTGGTATTAACTTTAGTAGCATTGTCGCGTCGTCGAACCTAATTTAACTCCAGATCCGGGGAGAAAGCGGCTCCTCTGCTGATCCCCTATGTCTATGTGGCGGCTGTTTTCTTCAGTTTTTTCTTGTCTTAGCTGCCTCCAATAACACATCAATTTTGTGGGTGAGTGTTTTTTCTTTTCTTTTTTTCTGGAAAACACATGTCCAGAATTTTGTTTTGCATATTTTTCATTGTTCTACCCTGTTGCGCCGTTGTTGGATTCACTTTAACATTCTGGTACACACAAAATATAGTAAGAAAACAATCACCTCTTCACCACTAATTACCATCGATCTCATTCATCTCCCAGAAGAACAGACACACTAAATTTTCCAATAACGGAACCATCTCCTTCAGAGATACACTAAATTTCTCGGGCATACAACCAACGGGAGAGGGGTGCCACTTAGTGAATAATTGCCCGAATATATAAAACTAAAATCCCAGGAAACAAGAACAATTAAGTTTACCGCAGACTTGAGAGAAAAAAATAATAGAAGAAGGAATAGTCAGGAATTCTTACCACACTTGAATCCTCACAAATATGAACCCCAAAAGGGAATTAGACTGAATTAGCAGGTGAAAAATGGCATTCAGGTTCACAGGATTCAGGACTGGTAGTGTCTTTCATAGCAATTACATTTTACTTAGTACTGTACAATATCACCAAATATTATTATATTAAAAGAGAAGATTTCAACACATTTTCAAAATGGGATCATCCAGTGTCTCAGCTGAAGATGATAAACTCTTTAACAAAGCTATTTTAATCTCCATTATATAATGGAATGCACTATGTGGAGGGAGAACCCCAAATTCTGGAGATGCCATGTGAGTTTCAAATATTATTTAAATAGGGGATCGATCTCTTAGTGCCATGCCATCATTGCCATGTGAGTTCTATTGATCGATCTCTCAACACGTCTGATTTTATTTCCTTCCTTCTTGTGAAACTTCTGGGTTGATTTCATTGGCACTCAAGTGCAGAATATTTAACTAGCCACGGTAGCCATGTTAAGTGAGTTTAAATTCCATTAGCATTTAATTCCCATCCTTTATTATCGCTTGAATTTATTTTATTTTTTATATAGATAATTTGGCACTGGCATTGCAATAATTCTGCATTTCCCATATAAGCAAAAGGAAATGAAGCTCAAGCTTGCTAAAAGTGACAAGATGAAGATACCCATTTGCATTCTTCCACTAACGCTTATGCTTCTGGCTCTCTCTCACATGTCGTGCGTGGTAGCAGAAGAGAGAGAGCAGCAGATGAAAAAGACCTACATCATTCGCATGGACAAGTCCAAAATGCCTGCGAGTTTTGGTGACGACCATTTCCAATGGTATGGCTCATCTTTGAAATCGGTGTCCAAGTCAGCAGACGTGCTCTACACCTACAGAACCATAATTCACGGCTTCTCCACAAGGCTAACTGCTGAGGAAGCTGAGCTGCTTGAAAAACAATCAGGGATTGTTTCTGTTTTACCTGAGTTAAGATATGAACTTCACAACTCGGACACCCGAGTTCCTTGGAATAACCTTTGCCAGAAACGAGGCCATCTTCCCGACATCAGATAAAATAAGTAGGGTTGTGATTGGCTTAATCGACACTGGTGTCTGGCCTAAGATCAAGAGCTACGATGATAAAGGTCTTGGGCCCGTGCCGAAGAGCTGGAAAGGGAAGTGCGAGGAAGGAACAAACTTCAACTCATCAAGTTGCAATAGAAAGCTAGTTGGTGCGAGATTTTTCCCAAAAGGATATGAAGCATCAATGGGACAACCCATTGATGAAAGAGTAGAATCAAGATCACCAAGAGATGATAGTGGCCATGGAACTCACACCTTGGATAACCACCGTGGGTGCTGGAACACTAGACCGTGATTTCCCGGCTTATGTTAGCCTCGGAAATAGAAAAATATATAGAGGTATATCAATCTATGCCGGACCATCACTATCTAGTGGATTACTTCCACTTGTTTATGCTGGTAATGCAAGTAACTCCATAGCTGGTGATCTATGCAGTCTTGACAGTTTGATTCCTGGAAAGGTTGCCGGGAAAATTGTGGTATGTGATAAAGGGATAACCTATAATGCTGAGAAGAGTGCGGTGGTAAAAAAGGCTGGTGGTATAGGGATGATTTTGGCAAATACTAAAGCTTATGGAGAGGAGGTTGTTGCCGACTCATATCTATTGCCTACAGTAGTGGTTGGCCAGAAAGCTGGTGATGCAATAAAACGATATATTGCCTCCCATGATAATCCGAAAGCCACATTTGATTTTGGAAAAACGCAATTAGGTGTGAAGCCCTTACCAGTGGTGGCAGCATTCAGCTCTAGAGGACCAAATCTAATCTCTCCAACCGAACTCAAACCGGACCTAATAGCACCAGGAGTGAATATCCTAGCTGGGTGGTCTGGTGCAGTTCCACCATCTGGATTTTATGAAGACACCAGGAGGGTGAGCTTCAACATCATTTCAGGTACATCCATGTCATGCCCACATGTGAGTGGGCTAGCTGCCCTTCTCAAGGTGGCTCACCCAAAATGGAGCCCTGCAGCCGTTAAGTCTGCTCTCATGACCACATCCTATACCACATACATAAATGGAAAACCACTCAAAGATATTGCTACCAGAAATGCTGCAACACCATTCGATTATGGTGCCGGGCATGTGGACCCAGTGGCAGCCCTCGACCCTGGCCTTGTTTATGATCTTGGTGTCGAGGACTACCTAAGCTTCCTTTGTGCCTTGAATTATACAACAAGAGATATCAAGATACTCACCCACATAGACTTCACCTGTGATTCAAGCAAGAATTACAGGGCTGGAGATCTAAATTATCCATCTTTTGCTGTTTCTCTAAACACAAGTTCAGGCAACAGGGGAGCGGGCACTAAAATATACACAAGGACTCTCACCAATGTGGGTACCCCAGGAACATACAAGGTATCTGTTTCTGCACTATCACCATCAGTGAAGATCTGGGTTGAACCAAAATCACTGAGTTTCGCTCAAGCATATGAGAAGAAGATGTATACTGTAACCTTTGTGACCAGTGCTATGCCATCTGGTACAAAAAGCTTTGCTCGCTTGGAATAGTCTGATGGGAAACATATAGTGAGTAGTCCTATTGCTATCAGCTGGTTTTAATTTTAGTACCATTGTTGAACCTAATCTAACTCCAGATCAGAGGATGTAGTGGCTCCTCTGCTGATCCGTGGTTGCTGATAAGGTGCTTAGAAATGAACTGAATCATGCAGCGTGGTGAAATAAAAATCTGCAGTGGTGGGTTTTCTCTTTTCAGTTTATTTTTGCTTTAGTTGTATCGCTTAATACATCAATTTTTTCTTTCCTGGAAAGATATGCTGAGAATTTTGTTTTGGATATCACCAGAGACTGAGGGAAATTTTATTTATTAAATAAAAATAAATGAAAAAACTAACTAGTCACACAATCTTGCCACAATTGAAGCTTTGGAAGAGGTAAATCTGCCAAATGTTTATGGTAATAGCCAATAGCTTCTAACCTCATTTAGACTAAACTCTCCAACAAAGCTATTTTTAATCACCAAAAAAGGCAAACCTTGTTGATATGGAGGATGTTTCCGATTACAATCTCCCTGGGTAAACAGTAGCTACTATAAGCCGCATGGTTACCCAAAACATAGACAAGAAACTCATCCATTATACTGGTCTTTTGCATTCCTTACAGGCAATCAGCTATCATGGCATCCATTTAGCACTTTGGGGGAAGGGTGGATTAGAGAGACTTACGATAACATTGTATAACTATAAAATCATAGAGCAGTCTACAATGCAAGCATCACAAAATCAATCAAAATGAAATACCTTGAAGTTACAATAAGTTTAAAAAGTAAAATAAAACAAACTCAAAAATGTCATTCTAAATCGTCTACGGACTGACAAACAGGAAGGTAATAAGTATCAAGCTGCCAATACTTTTGTTTAACACCTTCCCAAACTTGTTCTCCTAAACAATCCTTAACAGGCAATGGAATGAACTGTGTAGAGTAACCCAAATTCTGAAGCTCTAGTGAAACCAAGTGACAGTATACAACATGGAAGAATGCATTACCTCCACAAAGGCCATTGAAGAATGAGTAGATTCCCCCAGGCTTCAACAACACAGGAAGATGCTGGTGGAACTCTCTCAAGTCTTCATAGTACTCTCCATAGGTGTCAAAGAAAATCCCTGAACAACAAACGAAAAACCCCAAAAATTTCAAATATTGTGACTGAAAAATTCAAAAAATTGAAGGCTTCGAAGCTTAAACAGCAATTTGAATTGGTCCATTTCAATTTCACTTACCATCGTAAGATTGAAGTTGAGGTAGCACATCCTGCCAGCGCCCAAATATTATGTTCACATTGTCCTTCTGAGCCCAACCGGTTCGAACCATGCGCTCGTAAACCTCCGGGTGAGCTTCAACAATGGTGTGCGAAGCAGGGGAGTATTGCTGGATGGCCGTGTCCACGAGGCCCATCCCAAATCCAATGTTCATTACATGCCCACCCCCTGAGCAAACAGCTTTCGCGTGTGCCTCCATTAATGGCTTCTCCCAAGCCATCATCACCGCCTTACTGTCTGAGTCCATCAGCTTGTCCTCGCTAAAGCTCACCCTGTCTTCCAAATAATCTCCATTGCCATCCCCATTCTTATTCTCTTTCCTCGCAATCGTTCCCAGTACCAATTCAGCTTGAATCCCTAATTAGCTCAAATTAATCAAACACTTATCATTTTTCATTCATACAACTCCAAATTAGAACGACTTAGAGTAAATTTCTAGTTTCTATGTTAAGCACGTACCGGCATTGAGGAGGATGTCGTAGGTATTTTCGTGGCCTGCGTCCATGGCGAAATCGCCGGCGGAGAGATTGGAAGGAGATAGGGCGTTCCATGGCGCGCCAGCTTCTAGAAGAGTCTTGACGACATCTCCGTGGCCCAGCTTGGCCGCGTGCATCAGCGGGGTAAGGCCGTCGCCGTCGAAGTACGAAACGTCAGCTCCGGTTTCGATTAAAGTTTTCAGCTTTTCGGCGTCGCCGTTCCTCGCCGCCTCGCATAGTTGCTCGCCTTCCGCCATGTCTGTCTCAGTGTGCAGTGTCCGTCAAACCCTGGTCAAGGTTTATTAACGAAGGATAAATTGGACTTACCCCCACTAAGCTTTCTAAAATTATGATTTCTTCCCATTATAGCTATTCTATTTATATATTGACCACGTTATTTATTTATTTATTTTTGTGATTATCTATTAACTACTTTCTAATGTTCTAAAAAAATACACATTAACAATTATCTTATCCAAGACACGAGAAAAACTTAGTTGCAATAGGGATAACACTATTTTGCTATTCTAGACCAATAATGGTATACCACATGAAAGTATTATCATACGTGTCATAGTGTTATTAGTCGAAAATAGCAAAATAGTAATATCCCCGTTTTATAGAAGTCTCTCTCAATACATGCACAACTGCAAGGAAATTAGTAGCTAAAAGATTTCCTTTTTTGGCAGCGTTTGACCATTGTCAAATAAATCAAATTTGTACTTTTCAGATGCAATTCACATTTTGATTGGACTAACACTCAATTATGTTACTCTTTTTTTTTTTGGGTCACACACTTAGATTTTTTTTTTTAATGTCATGTGTTATCTATTCACGTGTTATATATATGGATTAATAACGGATTTATATTATAAAGTGTAATATTAACAAATAAAAGACACATTATAATGTATTGATGACAATTGTGATGATTACATTAAAAAATTTATCAAAACACACAAAATCCATTGCAATAGAATGGAATGAAGCCAATTCAGTTAGCTATATTATTAGGTCACTAAATTTATTTACTAAATTTGATCCTTAAAACATGTGTAGAGCTACTAATTAGTAAAAAAAAAAAATTGAAGTTTCAATTTAAACTAAAAATTAGATTAAAAAATGCCATCTTATAAAGTAAATAAAACAACATTAAATATTAAAAATGTATTCATTATAAAGCAGCTTTTATTCATCAAAAAACATGCGCACAAATAGTTCCAAAGAAGTCAAGAAGATTGTTAGCAACAAAAGGAAAAAGCCAAGAAAAATACTTAAATCAATAATCATAATCATCATGCTTAATTTAAAGCCTTCGAGAGAGTTGCCAATGTCATAATCATAATTCCAAGGCTATTATAGTCAATGGACCACAATAACTCACGCCGTGGGGGATCAGCGTCGCCATCTCAATCGACCAACTTTGACTGCGCTCCAAACTCGCATGTCACCCATTGACGGTGGAAACGACGTCGTTTAGGAACTCACTTATTCGCGGAGTTTCCAAAAAAAACAAATAAAGCTTTAAAACGTTAGTTTTATATTCGCACCAATTTTAAGCTTCTCTCTCTCTCTCTCTCTCTCCCCAACCTTCTTTTTCCTGGAATTGCAGTTGCTTCGTTGAAATAACGGAATCTCTCCTCAACCCATTGATCTTTTTAACGTCTTTATCTACTTTGCATTTGTATTTTCTTCCATTGTCAATGTTGTGCTCAAGTTCATCTGGAAATTGAACGTGTTTTGAGCTAGGGTTCATTTCTTGTCTGAAACAAAACAGGATTGTTGTTAATTTGTGAGTATATTCAACTTTACGAATCGTGGGGGTGATTTATTAATGGCGTCAAGTTTTGATCGGTGGGAGAAAGATCCATTTTTCTCGGCGGCCGAGGAAGTTCAAGAATCCGCAGACAGGTAGCATTTCTAATTGCCCATTTATGTCTTCTCTAGGGCTTCATTTTTAATCTTTTCATTTTCCCAATAAATTTTGAACTTTTCTTGGTTTGATTGCAACCTTGGTTTACATCTTGGATTTGGTAGCTTCCAGCTAATTTAAATCAACTTCCAGCGTTAGGAAGCTTTCAGCACATTCGTTTTTTGCCCCAATTAATCCAAAATTTTCCGAATATTATGTTCATATTCTTCTCTTTTTTCCCTGCATTTCCTCAGCATTTGCAATTTGTGCAAGTGCTCATTGAGTTAATGGTGTTTATCTGCAATCTGTTTGCTGGGAAAGACGAAATTAGGGTTTTTCTTTCTGCACTTATTTTTCGCGATGAAAGGCGCATTGAATGCTGGGAATGATATTCAGTTTGGTTTTGGTTGCTGTCATTGATTTGTTAATTTAATGTTTATGTGGTTGTGAAGGATGGAATCTACATATAGAACATGGATTCATGCCAAGAAAGACACTTCCAGTATGTGGGATCCCGAGGAACTTCACAGGGATCTCCGTACAACCCTTGGAACTACCAAATGGCAGGTCCTCTTCTCTCTCTCTCTCTCTTGGCTATTGGTGTGGACATTTTGGCACAGCATTAATTGGTGTTATGCCGATATTAGTCTAGTGAATAATTGATTAAATTCTGTGTTGGCAATGCAGTTGGAGGAGTTTGCGCGAGCTGTCAGGTCAAGTTATGCTAGAAGCTCATGTGAAGATGCAAGAGACAGGCACCATGAATTCATTGTTGCCATTGAGGACCAGATTTCCAAAATTGAAATCTCATTACGGGAAGTTGCCCTTTCTGAAGGCAAGGATTCTCAACCTTGGGTGCGTTTGGATGAAGGGGAGTGCAATGAGCTTGCATTTTTTCTTTCCGGACCATCTGCATCTAAAGAGAGAGTTATTGCTTTGAGTAACGACAGGGATAGTGAAAACCTACGAGGGACAGATAAAGAATCGGCACCAGGTTGTTCGAAGAATTCATGTGGTTCAGCTGAGTATGGTTCCCAGAAGACTAGGGAGGAGAAGCCACACGGGCATAGGAGGACAGCTAGTGCTAGTGCTGACATTGGTGTTTGGAAGATTGCAGTTTTTGACGATGCATACTTACCGAGTTCTTCTGCGATGATGGTTGAGCAACCTGTACGAAAGATTCCCAGTTTCTCTGGGTTTATTAGTTCCATGGAAACCGCATCAAAGTTGAAGTGGTCAAAGAATGGTTTTAGGAAGTGGAAGGCAGTGGACCGTCATGAAGATGCTGATGCTGCATTGTTGCCATCTTCTCAGTTGTCTAGGGTATGCATGCTTTAGTCCTTTGATTTAATTTACTACTGGAACTTTATATTTATTGTTGTTGTGTTACTAATGATTAAAATTCTGGTTTTCCATTTAGGGCATCAATGCTTGTTATGAAAAAAGTAAGAGTTGTTTGGATAGTTGCGACGACTGTTATGATAAACCATTGTATGGCTGGTACGGAGCTATTCAGAGACAACTTCAAAGGTCTCAGTACTACGTGCAATATAGTTGGCCTGCCCGTGTAGCTTTTTGGATTGCTCTTGTTTGCTTGATTGGTAAGCTTCTCTGAACCCTGTGAGGTTTTGTTTGCTAATTCATCTATTAAGTGCATATTCTTAATAATTTTTATGTGAAATACAACAGAATCTTTCTTTTCTGTCATTTCCCTTTAAGTAACTGATATCTTTGTATTCATGAGTTTGTTCTTTTCGATCCTTGCAGTTTTAATTGCATTGCGTGCTATCTGAGCCGTGGCCCTTGTCCATAGTACCTCATGACAGCTCGAGGGGAAATCCAAGCTGTCAATTGTTGAACATAGAGGTGGAATATTGAGTTCAAAAGATTACAATATTATTTTCACACATTGTTGAAGCGTCTAGCGGTGAACACAACCTACAACCTTCAGAGAATTTCCCTTTTGTTTTGTTTTTCAATTTCGACATCCTTGAAGGAGGGTAAATTCTGTTGTATTATAGAACAAAAATTTCAGATAAGCTGGAACGGGGTTGTAAGCTGAAAGATATTGCTAATGCATCCTGTAATATAATTTTTTTTTTTTTTAATGTACTGGTACTATTTGTGTACTATATAAAAATTTAGATTTCTTATCCTTGCTTTTCAATCTGACCAACAAACAGTTGTGGAAGGTAGCAGAAATATTCTGCCTATGTTTTTGAGACGGTAAATAAATTTTCATTTCGACCCTCAATGGTTGTACAAATTCTCTCGAAATATATTATAGAAACTCGAATGAAGGAAGGACTACATACATCAAAACAATCTCTGCCTTTCTCTACACTGCATACATCCGAAATGCTTTAAATACACACAAGTTTATTGTTTTGGACCGTATTGTGCTGAAACTGAAAAGCTACCGCGAAGCACGATTGTCCTGGTTGTTTTTCTGTAAAGCAAAACCATCATGATCCTTCTTGCCGAAGTCTAGGCCCTGGAATGTGACCCCAGATGAATGATACTGACTACCAAAGGCGGTGCCAAATCCCCATCCAAGACCTAGACCAACCCCACAACCTCCACCTTAGAAAACAAAATGCTACGTTAATGATATACGCACCATGGTGTACTTGAATGCATTCCGAAAACATAAACTAGAAATTCCAGTTGGGCTAAAAGGGAAAGGGTATACCTACACCAAGGCCCAAGAAATTCAACGGTGTGCCTGTAGCAAAAACAAAATTGTAAATTAGCAAACAAGGGCTATATACATTGCAGCAGGACGAATAACAAAGGTATTAAGAAAATAAGTTTATATGCGCAAGCACAAGAATTACTTAATGTGATAATCCAATGTCCCAACAAATAATATGTATAGTAATATCATAAGTTAATTGATGCTTAAATGCAGCCTCAATCTTTGAGAAACTTAAACCAGTTCAATACTTTCCATTGAATATGATAAAATAATTAGTGAAGCAATTATTTGGTCCAAAGTTCCAGACGCATGACAGCATTCACAAGAAACCTAAATTTTGGCCAAGCAGGAAAACCATGGCATTTTTGCACTGGTGGGGCAAAGAAAGAAAAATATAGGGGGGTGGTGGTTGGGGTGGGGGCGGAGTGGGAGATCTTGTTTCCAGTTGCAAAAAACATGTCTAAGCACACCAAACTCTTCCGGCATACCCTCCTGGTACACATACATTAAGTTGTAAGTAGCAACCAAGCATTAATATATAAAAATGATGAGAAGGGACGCACAATGGGCCATCAGTTGATCATCTAACTACTTTTGAGGTTCCTAAACAGGGTTAGCCTGTCTTCAATTGACATATTGACACTGTTGAACTTTCTAACTCTGGTCCAACAAGAATAACCGATTCCTACCATTCCTTTAAGTAGGGGATGAACCTGAGGAAAGATGGGATCATACGACCCAGGCATATCACAACTTTCCATTCCTTAAAGATAGGACAGAGAACCGAACCCCTTCTATCTACCCATAAATAACCACAAGAACACAAGATTCACCAAGACGATAGGTGATCCTGATAAGATAGCCATAAACCACTGGTGAGTGATAGAGGGATGATTTAACATACTTCTGATTCTATTTTTTTCAATACACCTAATATGTTAAATGGGTTTGCAATAGACAACCACTTTGAAACCATTTGGTTTGTTGCTGCCCAATCTGCAGCTAAGATGATATGTTGTAACATTCTTTCATTGCACAATCTAAAGAAATGCCTAATGAATCTAAACCCTGCAATGAAATTGGGCACCGAACTGTGTGTGAATCTTCTGAATAACTATGACTGCTCCGAATTTTAGCTACATGAAAATTTCAAGTGTTGAATGGACCGAAAACAGGCAATAATAATTTCCTCCTTCCTGATCAGATAAGCCTGAGTGTGAAACTATCCAATTGTTTAAAGTTTAAATAATTTCAGGCAAATAAAACATGAAATCAACAGGAAAGTGAAAGCGAGAAAAAATTAATAGAGGCGGAGGAACAAACCTCCGAAACCCCATCCAACGCCAAACCCGCAGCCGACACCGAATCCTAAAGAAAAACGACTGAGTTTGTCATAATAAGCTCACGGGATACATAAAAATCAGAACCCACAAAACAAAGCTTTTTGAAATTATACCAAATCCAACGCCAGCTCCATTGAAGTTGGTAAGCACCATTGCAGCTACCTACAACGACTGGAATGCGGTGTGCTCTTCAGTTCAATCTCCCTTCTTCTTCTTTATTTTTTTTCGTTCTTTTTGTTTTTGGGTAAAAACTAAAAGGTTTCTCCCTCATCTTTGTCTGAACTTGGGAAATACCCGTGGCCCATGGGCAAGCCGTCCAATGTCTCCCAACTAGGCCCATTGCTAGGCTTGGGCCACCGCTCAAAGAAAACTTGAAATTATTACAGATTTGAAGGACAGCCGCCTGCAAACCGTAAACTAGTAAAGAAAGCAATTGCATGATTATTTAATAAATATTGTAGATTTGCATGTTTCGCATAACGTGTTATTTAACTATAATTATTTTTTCAGGCAAAGATATCATATGACAAAGGATCCAACGAAATTAATCCCATTTTATATTCCATCAAGCAAACACATGTCATGGGTGACGCTGGCGGCTGCTGCTGTAAACTTTTAAACTTGAAACAGAAAAGGTTGCAGAGGTTGTATTGGGTGGGGGAGCTGAGTTGTCAAGCATGAACAAGAATAAATAGCACAGGTTGCGGGATACTCCAGGAATTCCTTTGTTTATTGGATGGCTTATTATCATAAAACATACCTAACGTTTGTAAAATTATTAGATTGCATCCTTAAATTTTTTTTTGTATCACTTAATACTTATAGTCCCTAACGTTAATATAGGTGCTCTTAAATAGTTTATTTATTAAAAAAACTATTAAATTCAGAGGTATAATCGTCAAATCAATCATTTTGACCTCTTCAATGACGCAAACCCATTTGCCACTAATTTGGAACCATTTCCCTCTATTTCTTGTTGGAATTGCTAAATGTAAGGGGTGAAAATGGAAGGGAATAACATAAACAAATTGAACTGTAAACAACACATGTTGAACAAATTGAATAAACTAACACATTCAACTACATTCAATTATATTATCAACCACGTTCAGTTCCATTACATTATAACCCCCTACATGACTTCCATAAAAAATCACTTCCATACACTTTTGTCGAGAAGCTTCGTCGCGACAGCCATCCAAGCCTAAATCAATGGCTGCGATCTGCCCAATGGAGGCCGACAAAGAATCTTCTGCGATCTGCCGGCATGTCGTTGTCATGGCTAGAAGCATACTACACACTTGCCGACGACTTGTCGTTTCAGTCTGAGCTCTGAAGCTTATCTGCTACTCTGATTTATACTTATCTGCTACTCTGAAGCTTATCTGCTACTCTTATCTGCTACTCTGAAGCTTATCTTCTCTCAAACACTTTTGCAGAAGCTTTACCGCCCAATTTTCCATGATTGAAAAACCCTATTTCTCAGAAAAAGCGTAGATGATGATGTTGACGATGACCATGAGGAAATATATTTGAAGCGTGAGAGGTAAAAGGAAGTTGACGATTTTATCCTTCATAAAATTGGGGATTTAACGATTTTTTTAACGGATGGACTGTTTAAGAGCACTTATATTAACATTAGAGACCATGAGTGATACAAAAAAAACTTTAAGGATGCAATCTGATAGTTTAGCAAACATTGGGGACGTTTTGCAAACATTAGGGACGTTTTTTGATAATAAGTCTTATTAGATTTATAAAATGAAAGCTCACAAGATGGTGCCATGATTGAATTCATAGTGTTGATTGAATTCATAGCGTTTAATTTTAATTGGAAATGTTTGGTTGCTGTGTGGTTATGACTTGTAAGTTTAATGTTGGTCTGACTTTTTGGTGTAAAGATATGAATATGGACATGTTGATTGAGCTTGTATCACCTTATGAAAATATAATATTTGCTATCATCAAGAAATATTTTTAATTTTTTTGAAACCGATAATTGAGCTATTTTGGTCAACAATTATATTACATAAGGTGATAATGATGAAGGCTCCAGATCAGCGGGTAATACCAATGACATGGCAGAATTATATCATCCCGCGCGAAAAGACACTTTTACCCAAATTCCCAGTGGGTGCTAGGTATAGGTAGTAGATGAGCTCGTATCGAAGCACACTCGAGAATGTCGTAGAAAATTCAGCTATTTTTTGTGAAATTTGATTAACAATTCAAGCGACTGACCGGTACACTAAGATTCAATCTCAGCTTATCTACTGGTCTTTCTCCGCCCTCCCAATTTCTCGAATCAATTTCCCTCATCTTCATTTCTTCCTTCTTCTCTCCCAACTTTACCCAAAATCATGAGCTGGTGGTGGGCTGGAGCTGTTGGCGCTGCCAAGGCAATTTTCTAATTAGAGTCACATAAATCACTCCCCTTTCCTTTTCTTTTTCTGCGTAATTAACATTTTATTCCTGAATTTTGCAGAAAAAATTTGACGAAGACGAAGCACCGCGAAGCCCCGAGAGCGTAGGTCTCGTGATCGGCGTCACCGGCATAGTCGGTAACAGCCTCGCCGAAATCCTCCCGATCTCCGACACCCCCGGAGGTCCATGGAAGGTCTACGGCGTTGCACGCCGTCCCCGCCCGAACTGGAACGCCGACCACCCCGTCGAGTACATCCAGTGCGACATCTCCGATGCCGACGACGCCAAGGCCAAGCTCTCTCCGTTATCCGACGTCACCCACATCTTCTACGTGACCTGGACCAACCGATCCACCGAGGCGGAGAGCTGCGAGGCTAACGGCGCTATGTTCCGCAACGTCTTGAATTCCGTCATCCCAAACGCACCCAATCTCCGCCACGTGTGCCTCCAGACGGGAGCCAAGCACTACGTCGGGCCGTTCGAGGCGTTCGGGAAGATCCAGCCCCACGAGTCGCCCTTCACGGAGGACCTGCCCCGATTGGACTACCCGAATTTCTACTACACCTTGGAAGATTTGTTGTTCGCTGAGGTGGAGAAGAAGGATGACTTGACTTGGTCCGTCCACCGACCCGATGCGATTTTCGGGTTCTCTCCGTACAGCATGATGAACATCGTCGGCACGCTCTGCGTGTACGCCGCCATCTGCAAGCACGAGAGAGTGCCGTTAAAGTTCCCGGGAAGCAAAGCGGCGTGGAACTGCTACTCGGTGGCTTCGGATGCGGATCTGATAGCGGAGCAGCACATATGGGCGGCGGTGGACCCGTATGCCAAAAACGAAGCGTTTAACATAAACAATGGGGATGTGTTTAAGTGGAAGCATGTTTGGAAGGTGTTGGCTGAGCAGTTTGGGATTGAGGAGTATGGGATTGATGAGGAGGAGGGGGCGAAGCTGAGCTTGGTGGAGCTGATGAAGGGGAAGGAGAGAGTGTGGGAGGAGATAGTGAAGGAGAATCAGCTGCAGCCCACAAGGTTGGAGGAGGTTGGAGTGTGGTGGTTTGTGGATGTTTGGTTGGGTGGGGAGGGATTGTTGTGTAGTATGAACAAGAGCAAGGAGCATGGGTTTGTGGGTTTTAGAAACTCCAGGAATTCATTTGTCACTTGGATTGATAAAATGAAGGCTTTCAAGATTGTGCCTTGATCTTTAATTGGGGTTTGAGGATGTTGTGATGGTGTTTTTCTTTGGATCTGCAAAATATGTTTGTTGTGGTTTGCTTGTTCCTGTTCTACATGAATTCTAAAAATAATCGTAGCAGGTCGAGAGCAGGTACCACAGTGGTGGCCTACCCCTTCCCCCTGCCTGACACCTAGGTTTAGGTGTCAAAACCCCAAGAGGTTTCTTTCCTCCTATTGTAACCCCAAAAAAAAATCGTAGCAGATACTTGTGCTTGTTTTTGAAGTATCAGCGATTAATGTACAACGTGCAAGTGATGGTGGATGGAATGTGACATATTTTCTGCTTTAAACAGCTACCATTTCTACCAAGTACGAGTATATGACAAATATTTGCAGGGCAAAAAAACATTTCAGCTGAGCCAGCAAGTCTTTACTTTTAACTAAATTATGAAAATGCTAAATTATGAATCTTTAAGCTTTCATCTTTTCAATCCAGGAAATGAATGGCTTTGAAATTCCTAAATCCCAAAGTAATCATGCTCCCTCCTTGCTTTAGTAATAGTTAATCATGCTCCTTCCGTACTTACTAATTTGGTTTGGTTGTAACATTATGAAACTGGTCAAATCAAATCGTAATTATCGTAATTATCAATTTGGATTGGTTTTGAGTTTGATTTGATTTAATTTTGAATTTTTATAAATCAACCTAAATCATATCATACCGTTTTTATGTATATTTATTATTTATATTATATTTTACATGTATAATATTCTAATTTGATAATAACTACATATGAATATTTGAATTAAACTGAATTAAATTGTTATATTGTAATTAGTTCGACCGTGACTTTGATGTGAAACCGATCCAATTCGGACTGTATCCACCCCTATCGGTGCATCATCCACAAAGATGAAGTCATGCTCTTGGAATTAGGATAATACCCATGGCCCAATAATTGGTCTGAATTTTAAAGCCCATGGTCATTTACCGAGAAATCCATCAACTCGGCCTAGGAACAAGACAGTCCAAAATGTCAAGATTTTTAGAAAATGTAAAATTGCTACATATGCTATCAAATCTAAACATGGTGCATTTGGCATATTCCTTAAAGATGCTCTAAGAAATTAAAATCAACCAATCATGCAAATACGAGCAAAATGAAAAAATTTGCATTTAAACTGACAAGAACAAAAGTTAATTTCCATTTCAAGTACAACATTTGGGCCAAGTTTTAAAATAAAATGGTAAAATTGTCATTTTGCTTACTAATTTAAGCAGGTCTATTGAATGTAGGCCTCCTGGTTGAGTTTTGCAAAACAAAATTCAAACCTAATTGACCTAGCCCAAAAACAAAACTAGCCATTTGAGATATCCTTATTGCTAAACATTTATATGACTTATACCTAATTTATTTTATTAATTAACATTAAATTCCTATTACACAAAAAATTATTAGTTTAAACTATAATTTGTATTAAAAAAATGAAATTTGCATAGATACCATATGAACTTTTAGACACGTACGCAAGTACCGCATAAACTATAGAAAATATTGCAATTTAACACATGCCCCAAATCCTATCAAAATTTCCATACACATGTGATACTTTTTCAAATGCAATTTTATCAATTCATTATAACTAAAAACCTTTTCAAAAACTAGAATTTATAAATAATTTTTTTAAAAAAAACTAACCAACTTAATTATCCCATAAACCTCCCCAACCCCTTCCAACATCTTTCTCGCCCTCTTTCCCACCCCCAATAATATAATGGAGGTTAAATGGACTAGTCAATTGAATGAAATTTAGGTATTCAATTTGTCTTGGATTTGATATTTTATAGTCCAATATTAATACTCACTCCACTAAAGCACACCTCCACACATCCCACTCTAGTGATTCCATTCCACCCACAGAATTTTTTTTATTTTTTATAGTTAATTATTATTTATTACTCAGCCTTTTTCATAAAACACACATTCCTAGAGAGCATCTTTTACTTTTTTTGTATTAAAAAATAATAATAAAAACCTTTACTTTTTCTAGTGTACATAAAATGTCAATTTTTTTTGTTCATTGATGAGGAGGAGGGGGCGAAGCTGAGCTTGGTGGAGCTGATGAAGGGGAAGGAGAGAGTGTGGGAGGAGATAGTGAAGGAGAATCAGCTGCAGCCCACAAGGTTGGAGGAGGTTGGAGTGTGGTGGTTTGTGGATGTTTGGTTGGGTGGGGAGGGATTGTTGTGTAGTATGAACAAGAGCAAGGAGCATGGGTTTGTGGGTTTTAGAAACTCCAGGAATTCATTTGTCACTTGGATTGATAAAATGAAGGCTTTCAAGATTGTGCCTTGATCTTTAATTGGGGTTTGAGGATGTTGTGATGGTGTTTTTCTTTGGATCTGCAAAATATGTTTGTTGTGGTTTGCTTGTTCCTGTTCTACATGAATTCTAAAAATAATCGTAGCAGGTCGAGAGCAGGTACCACAGTGGTGGCCTACCCCTTCCCCCTGCCTGACACCTAGGTTTAGGTGTCAAAACCCCAAGAGGTTTCTTTCCTCCTATTGTAACCCCAAAAAAAAATCGTAGCAGATACTTGTGCTTGTTTTTGAAGTATCAGCGATTAATGTACAACGTGCAAGTGATGGTGGATGGAATGTGACATATTTTCTGCTTTAAACAGCTACCATTTCTACCAAGTACGAGTATATGACAAATATTTGCAGGGCAAAAAAACATTTCAGCTGAGCCAGCAAGTCTTTACTTTTAACTAAATTATGAAAATGCTAAATTATGAATCTTTAAGCTTTCATCTTTTCAATCCAGGAAATGAATGGCTTTGAAATTCCTAAATCCCAAAGTAATCATGCTCCCTCCTTGCTTTAGTAATAGTTAATCATGCTCCTTCCGTACTTACTAATTTGGTTTGGTTGTAACATTATGAAACTGGTCAAATCAAATCGTAATTATCGTAATTATCAATTTGGATTGGTTTTGAGTTTGATTTGATTTAATTTTGAATTTTTATAAATCAACCTAAATCATATCATACCGTTTTTATGTATATTTATTATTTATATTATATTTTACATGTATAATATTCTAATTTGATAATAACTACATATGAATATTTGAATTAAACTGAATTAAATTGTTATATTGTAATTAGTTCGACCGTGACTTTGATGTGAAACCGATCCAATTCGGACTGTATCCACCCCTATCGGTGCATCATCCACAAAGATGAAGTCATGCTCTTGGAATTAGGATAATACCCATGGCCCAATAATTGGTCTGAATTTTAAAGCCCATGGTCATTTACCGAGAAATCCATCAACTCGGCCTAGGAACAAGACAGTCCAAAATGTCAAGATTTTTAGAAAATGTAAAATTGCTACATATGCTATCAAATCTAAACATGGTGCATTTGGCATATTCCTTAAAGATGCTCTAAGAAATTAAAATCAACCAATCATGCAAATACGAGCAAAATGAAAAAATTTGCATTTAAACTGACAAGAACAAAAGTTAATTTCCATTTCAAGTACAACATTTGGGCCAAGTTTTAAAATAAAATGGTAAAATTGTCATTTTGCTTACTAATTTAAGCAGGTCTATTGAATGTAGGCCTCCTGGTTGAGTTTTGCAAAACAAAATTCAAACCTAATTGACCTAGCCCAAAAACAAAACTAGCCATTTGAGATATCCTTATTGCTAAACATTTATATGACTTATACCTAATTTATTTTATTAATTAACATTAAATTCCTATTACACAAAAAATTATTAGTTTAAACTATAATTTGTATTAAAAAAATGAAATTTGCATAGATACCATATGAACTTTTAGACACGTACGCAAGTACCGCATAAACTATAGAAAATATTGCAATTTAACACATGCCCCAAATCCTATCAAAATTTCCATACACATGTGATACTTTTTCAAATGCAATTTTATCAATTCATTATAACTAAAAACCTTTTCAAAAACTAGAATTTATAAATAATTTTTTTAAAAAAAACTAACCAACTTAATTATCCCATAAACCTCCCCAACCCCTTCCAACATCTTTCTCGCCCTCTTTCCCACCCCCAATAATATAATGGAGGTTAAATGGACTAGTCAATTGAATGAAATTTAGGTATTCAATTTGTCTTGGATTTGATATTTTATAGTCCAATATTAATACTCACTCCACTAAAGCACACCTCCACACATCCCACTCTAGTGATTCCATTCCACCCACAGAATTTTTTTTATTTTTTATAGTTAATTATTATTTATTACTCAGCCTTTTTCATAAAACACACATTCCTAGAGAGCATCTTTTACTTTTTTTGTATTAAAAAATAATAATAAAAACCTTTACTTTTTCTAGTGTACATAAAATGTCAATTTTTTTTGTTCTTATAAATTTTGGCTACTTCGTCTCATTTTTATTTTTCAAGTTGGCATGGATTAAAATAGTTCAGTTTTTTTTTTCCTTATTCTTTTGTAATGGGTAATAAATGCTTTCAATTCTTTTCCTTTTATGGAGAAGTTTATTGTGTAATTGCTAATTGACCTTAAAATTCATACTTTAATGAAATTCACTCGTATCTTCAAGTTTTCTAGGTTTGTATGTAAGATAAATTTAGCCCACCCTATCTTCAAATCTTGAGTCCATCTTTATCTATTTATAAAATGACTTATAAGGACTGAAAAAAACTATATTAAAAAAAAAAAAAAAACTAACACACGCACAGCACATCACAAGCCCATTCAAACGTGTTGCTTTCATGGTGGATTACTGGGAAAGTGAGTGGTTCAAGTTTGTATGGAAAAGAAAAAAAGAAGCAAAAATCCAACAGCCACTAACTCAACCACCCAACGCAGAAATTTTAAAGGACAAAAAGAAGTAAAAATCCAACAGCCACTAACTCAACCCACCCAACGCAGAATTTTAAAGGACAAAAAGAGACCTTTCAATCTGGAAAAAATAGAAGGACCTCTCAAGATTTTTTGAAGATGAAGGAACCAACTTGCTTCATGGTGGAAGATAGAATGAGCAAGCAAAGAATAGTCTCGGGGAGAAGAGAAGAAAGAAGGATAAAAAAAAAGAAGAGAATTTGCTTAAATTAATAATTAAATGATATTTTAGAAATAATGGTGAGTGGAAAAATAGGATTTTGTTTTTTCAAATTTATACGATAGGTGGGAAGATAGAGTGAGTAGAGAAATAAGACATGGATGGAAATAGTAGCACTCTTTATAAATGATGGAATTTAAATTGACAGAAATTAATGTTTTAAATTTTTTAAAGTTTCTTGTTTGGATAACGAATTTAAATACGGAATTTAATCTTTATATGTGAAGTATCTCGTTTGGAATTTTAGAAATGAAGACTTTTTAGATATAATTTAAAGTTGAGATTTATTACCTCCAAATTTCATGTTTTTTACTACACGAATTTCTAAATTTCTATGTTTTTTATCCAAACATAGGAATTGGGTCATGTCAATTTAGAAATTCTGACTTTTGTCAAAATCCCAAGTTATTTTCCTCATCCAAAAACACTTATAATAAATTGACGAAATTGCTTTCCAAGAAATATTAAGTTAACGGAAACTTTAACGAAACTAAATATAGGTAGTAAATTGCAACACTAAAAGTTAAAGGGATATTTATGTAAATTTCCCAACAAAGAAATCTATAAAAAAAAGTATGTGGCAACGGTCGTTCCACTCTCCTGCTCAATTTAATATCTTCGTTCTCTTTTCTCCTCCAGTTAAGCGTGTTTTCAATTTCAAAATCATTTTAATTAACGATGAACTTTAAATTGCAGAGGAAACATGAAGAAGATCATGAGGCACCACATACCCCCAAGAGCGTGGGGCTGGTCATCGGTGTAACGGGCATAGTAGGCAACAGCCTAGCTCGAATCCTCCCACAATCAGACACACCCGGCGGTCCATGGAAGGTCTACGGAGTCGCACGCCGTCCTCGCCCGCATTGGAACAGCGACTACCCCATGGAGTACATCCAATGCGACATCTCGGACCCAAACGACACCGTATCCAAGCTCTCCGGATTAACTGACGTCACCCACATCTTTTATGTCACTTGGGCCAGCCGATCCACGGAGCCCCAAAATTGTGAGGTAAACGCCGCCATGATCCGCAACGTGCTACGTGTCGTCATCACGAACGCGCCAAACCTCTGCCACGTGTGTTTGCAGACAGGGACCAAACACTACTTCGGACCCTACGAGTCGTTCGGCAAACTGGAGCCTCGGGAGCCGCCTTGGTTGGAGGATCTGCCCCGACTGAACGCCCCGAACTTCTACTACGCCCAGGAGGACGTGTTGTTTGAAGAGGTGGGGAAGAAAGAGGAGTTGAATATTACATGGTCGGTGCACCGACCGGGGCCTATTTTCGGCTTTTCGCCGTACAGCTTGGTCAACATTGTAGCCATGCTGAGTGTGTACGCTTCTATATGTAAGCACGAGAAGAAACCTTTGAGATTTCCTGGAAGCAAAGAGGCCTGGAATTGTTACTCGGACGTTTCGGATGCGGATTTGATCGCGGAGCAGCAGATATGGGCGGCGTTTGACCCGAATGCGAAAAACGAAGCGTTTAATGTGAACAATGGGGATGTTTTTAAGTGGAAGCAGTTTTGGACAGTGTTGGCTGAGCAATTTGAGATTGGGGAGTACGGGTTTGATGAGGAGGGTGGGGGTTTTAGTTTGTTGGACATGATGAAGGAGAAGGAGGGTGTGTGGGAGGAGATAGTGAGGGAGAACCAGCTGGAGCCCACAAAGTTGGAGGAGATAGGGTGGTGGCTGCTGGATTTGGTTTTCAGTGGGGAAGGTCTCATGACTAGCATGAATAAGAGTAAAGAGCATGGGTTTTTGGGGTTCAGAAACTCCAAGAAGTCCTTTGTTTCATGGATTAATAAAAACAAAGCTTTCAAGATTGTGCCTTGAGAGATGGCCTCAAAATTGGGAAAGTGTTTGTTGCTGTTGACTGGTTCTGGTTTTCTTGTATTGCATAAAATAAAAACTTATGTTTCATCTTCTTTTTTTTTGGGTCGAACTTATGTTTCATCTTTATCTTTAGACTTGTTTGTAAATTTGGAAAATTATATAATACAACAATAGTATAGCTACATGATACATCTTATATACGTGTTATAATGTGGGGGACGATATGGTTTATTTTCTCCCTTTTTATGGAACAATATCAATAAATATCCACTTATGTTATAACATATGTACACAAAATATACCACGTGACCGTACTATCGTAGCATTCTATAATCCTTTTAAATTTGTAATAAAAGTTTTGTTTTCTTGAGTGGGATTAAAAAAGTTAGAACCCTACATGCCATGGCACGTGTACTCGATTTGTTAACACATTATTTTGTTCTTGTTTTAATTGCTTAGCATAAATCTCCGAGCATTGACAACTGTAAATCTTCGACGAACTTCTCCTACTATTTGATTAATTCTTTTGGGATAGTTAGTCTAACAACAATATTTCCCTTTCTTAATTTCTCTTTTATTTTTGGAATTTTAGTTTTCATAATTTCTATATGGCAGATTCTTCATATTGGGGGGTTGTTTTTCTTAACAATTTTTTATGAATGGGTTTCTTATGTTTGTATGTTTTATCAAAGTAGTCTACTTGTAATGAACTTATGTTGATAAATATATAAAAACATCTATTTGATTTGTAAAATCTTCTCTTTTCTCCTTGTAAGCTAACTAGGCTTTTAATTTCAGTGAAATAAATGATTATAAGTTGCAGCCAATCTTTTTGAAGAAATTTCTAAACCAAGTTGTAATCTTTTTTGTTTTTGTGGTTTCTATTTTCTTAAATGATTTTGATTTCTAAATGTGGTCCAATGGTTCTAATTGGTAGTAGCAATAAGCAAGGGTCTAGGAGTTTAAACTAGTCGGAGTTTGCTGTTGAGGAGGCTTGAGTTAAAACCAGCCAACAAGGCTTGGGTTACAGAGTTGAAAGAAACAAAAAAACAAAACAAAAAAAGAACAGAAAAAAGAAAACATGTGTCCTTTTGTAAAGAGGCCATGTTTTACGTGGAAGAGGAACGGCACCTGATGTATCAGTAGCCAAGTATTGTCCTATAGTAAATTGACAAAAATTCCTCTCCAAGAAATATTAAGTTAATGAAAACTTTAACAAAATTAGACGTACTTTAAGGTGCTATTAAACAGAAAATCTATCGAAAAGTAGGTGGCAACGGCCATTCCACTCTCCTGCTCTCCTCCAATTAAGTGTGTTTTAAATTTCAAAGCATAATTATCAATTTACTTAATGATGAACTTTAAATTGCAGAGGAAACATGAAGAAGATCATGAGGCACCACGCAGCCCCAAGAGCGTGGGGCTGGTCTTCGGTGTAACGGACATAGTGGGCAACAGCCTAGCTCGAATCCTCCCACTCTCAGACACACCCGGCAGTCCATGGAAGGTCTACGGAGTCGCACGCCGTCCTCGCCCGCACTGGAACACCGACTACCCCATGGAGTACATCCAATGCGACATCTCAGACCCAAACGACACCGTATCCAAGCTCTCCAGATTAACTGACGTCTTTTATGTCACTTGGGCCAGCCGATCCACGGAGCCCCAAAACTGCGAGGCAAACGCCGCCATGATCCGCAACGTGCTACGTGTCGTCATCACGAACGCGCCAAACCTCTGCCACGTGTGTTTGCAGACAGGGACCAAACACTACTTCGGACTCTACTAGTCGTTCGGCAAACTGGAGCCCCAGGAGCCGCCTTGTTTGGAGGATCTGCCCCGACGGAACGCCCCGAACTTCTACTACGTCCTGGAGGAGCTGTTGTTTGAAGAGGTGGGGAAGAAAGAGGAGTTGAATATTACTTGGTCGGTGCACCGGCCGGGGGCTATTTTCGGCTTTTCGCCTTACAGCTTGGTTAACATTGTAGCCATGCCGAGTGTGTACGCTTCTATATGTAAGCATGAGAAGAAACCTTTGAGATTTCCTGGAAGCAAAGAGGCCTGGAATTGTTACTCGGACGTTTCGGATGGGGCTTTGATCGCGGAGCAGCAGATATGGGCGGCGGTTGACCTGAATGCGAAAAACGAAGCGTTTAATGTGAACAATGGGGATGTTTTTAAGTGGAAGCAGTTTTGGACGGTGTTGGCTGAGCAGTTTGAGATTGAGGAGTATGGGTTTGATGAGGAGGGTGGGGGGTTTAGTAGGTGGAGATGATGAAGGAGAAGGAGGATGTGTGGGAGGAGATAGTGAGGGAGAACCAGCTGGAGCCCACAAAGTTGGAGGAGATAGGGCAGTGGTGGCTGATGGATTTGTTTTTCAGTGGGGAAGGTCTCATGTCTAGCATGAATAAGAGTAAAGAGCATGGGTTTTTGGGGTTCAGAAACTCCAAGAAGTCCTTTGTTTCATGGATTGATAAAAACAAGGCTTTCAAGATTGTGCCTTGAGAGATGGTCTCAAAATTGGGAAAGTGTTTGTTGCTGTTATTGACTGGTTCTGGTTTTCTTGTATTGCAGAAAATAAAGATTTATGTTTTATCATTATCTTTAGACTTGTTTGTAAATTTGGAAAATTATATAATACTATGGCGCAAATTTGTAATAAAAGTTTGTGTTTTCTTGAGTGGGATTACGAAGTTAGAACCCTACATGCCATGGCACGTGTACGCATTTTGTTAACATTATTTTGTTCTTCTTTTAATTGATTAGCATGGCCCGTAAATTCTTTAGATTGGGAGTAGGATTTGTTTATGAACTAATTTGTAACATTCAGATCAGATTTTAACAAGCATAAAGTACTAATAAACCAGTTATAACACAAGCAAACTCTCTTCTACTTATTTGTATACATAAGCTGTTTCTCTCTCTAGATGTATCAAACACATCATGGAACAATCTTGTAAGCTTTCATCTTTTGAACCCAGGAAGTGAAGGACTTTTGGGAATTTCTGAAACCCAAAAAGCCATGCTCCTTGCTCTTGTTCATACTGTCCAACGCAGACTCAACACACAACACGATGTCAGCAAACCACCAAACCCCTACCTCCTCCAACTTTGTTGGCTGCAGCTTATTCTTCTTCACAATCTCTTCCCACACACCACCTTTCCCCTTCATCATCTCCACCAAGCTCAACCTCCTCTCACCCTCTTCCTCATCAAGCCCATACTCCTCAATCCCAAACTGCTCAGCCAACACCTTCCAGAAATGCTTCCACTTAAACACATCCCCATTGTTCACATTAAACGCTTCGTTTTTTGCGTACGGATCCACAGCCGCCCAGATATGCTGCTCCGCGATCAAATCCGCATCCGAAGCCACCGAGAAGCAATTCCAAGCCGCTTTGCTTCCGGGAAATTTCAAAGGCTTCTTCTCATGCTTACATATAGCAGCGTAGACGCAAAGCGTCCCAATTACGTTCATCAAGCTATAAGGAGAAAACCCAAAAATGGTATTGGGCCTATGGACCGACCAACTCAACCCCTCCTTTTTCTTAGCCTCATCAAACAATATGTCCTCCTGAGTGTAATAGAAATTGGGAACGTCTAGCCTCGGCAGGTCCTCAGTAAAAGGCGGGTCATGGGCTTTGATCTTGCCAAATGACTCGAACGGCCCAATATAGTGTTTGGTGCCAGTCTGCAACGACACGTGGCGGATATTTGGCGCCACAGGGATCACGACGCCTAACACGTTGCAGAGCATGGCTCCGTTGGCCTCGCAATTTTCGACCTCGCTGGCTTTGTTGGCCCATGACACGTAAAATATGTGCGTGACGTCGGTTAATTTAGAGAGCTTGGCCTTTGTGTCTTCGGGGTCCGAGATGTCGCACTGGATATAGTCAACGGGATGGTCAGCGTTCCAGTTTGGGCGGGGACGGCGGGCGACGCCGTACACCTTCCACGGGCCGCCGGGTGTGTCAGGGCGAGGGAGGATCTCGGCTAGGCTGTTACCTACTATGCCCGTCACGCCGATCACTAGCCCCACACTCCTTTGGCCTTGTGGTGCTGACGTGTCAACTCCTTGATATTTCTTCTGAAAAATTCATGTTAAATGCAAGGAAACATAAGTTTGTTGCTAGCTAAACATATTAATCAAATTAATTTTTTAAGATGGCAGCTAATTATGGTAATATATTCTTACCTTGGCATCGGCAACAGCTCTAGCCCACCACCAGCTCATTCTGATTTTTGGGTTGAAATGAAAAGCCCTCAAGAGAAGAGAAGCAACAAGTGACAATCGGTGTCGCGTTTTGTTTTGTGGCTTCGCTGTTTTTATAGGGAAAAGAACAAAAGGCTCCACCTTTTTCTTCACATATGACGCAAGCTATGACATCCTTCTAGATATACATCCCTCTAGATATACATCCAATTCATTCAAAATAACTTTTTGACGTCAGGAATGCTAAATAATTGAGACTCTGATATTTGATATTTTTTGATACTCTTTTTGAGAGATCAACTCAGAGTGAAGTTGACAGTCTTTGTTGGGGGGGGAGAGAATGTGAGGATCTTTGGTAAGGGAATAGTTTGCAGAAGATAAAGTAGGAGAAGCAATAGTCAAACTTCGGACACCGGTGTGGTGTCAGTCGAATGCTCTCCGATGCTTAAGTTAGCTATGAGTGGTAAATTTGACAGAGTAACAGTAAATGTGATAAAATAATTACTCTTTTTACTCGGATATTATTTCCTATTTATAGGGAAGTGAAAGTAGGAGATTTGCACAAAGTTTTGATGTGGGATTTTGTGCAAGTTGTTGTGGTGATGACACATGTCTTGGAGATTAGGTTCGACAATTGAGAGTTTCGACAGTCGGGAGCTTCCGCAGGTGTCTGCCACTTCGGAAAAGTGTCTTCCTTCGGCATAGAAGAAGGGGTGTCTGCTTTGGTGCTAGTCGTTTTGATGTCGGATATATTCGGTTGATTATGATGTAAACAATATTTATGAAAGAAAATTCTATAGGCATCAAAATTAGAATTTATGGGCATGGTTCAATCCATTTCTTCCGGTTCTAGTGTCGCAAATATGTTACACTAATAGACATCTCGGTTAATACTTTCATAATTGTGCTTCATCAGACTGAGATCGAATCTCTCAGTTATCTCAAACCCAACCAACTGAGAGATTCAATCTTCGTGAGACTGTCTTAAGCCTGTAAACCAAACCAGAAAACAATTTGGACGATGAGCAACTTAGATTTGTAATTATATGTTCCAATTAGTCAAAAGTCACAAATATGAGAAAATATTAGGTGTGGTTGAGTGGCAAACGTTCGGTTAACCAAAAAAAACATAACAATTCTTGCATATTTGTATTTATAATTCAAGATTTTGTAACATATGTCATGATTAAACTGGGGAAAACTTACATCTCTTCTTGCCACACACATGGTAAATAAGTTGACACCAAAGTTTCTCTCTATAAATAATTTCATACAAAGAGAGAACACATTGATGGGTTATTGGCATGCTTGCTTAGTCTGTACGCGGCTAAATGCAATCACGAGCCCAAAAAGTTGGAATAGATTGTTTGTGCCTTGATTGAGATATGCTAAGCATTCAGGCGCAACCGGTTTGTTTGGGAACTAGCATTGTATCTCAATTAATTTGTTGTAACTTCAATTTTTACAAAAAGAATAAAACTCTTTTAATTATATCTACAAGCTCTTTATCAATTCATTAAGAAAACATATATACATATATGATCACCATCATACATTTCTTCATGGCACAATCTTGTAAGATTTCATCTTCTCAATCCATGAAATGAAAGACTTGTAGGAGTTCCTAAACCCCAAAAACCCATGCTCCTTGCTCTTATTCATACTGTCCAAAACAGCCTCCCCGCCCAACACATAGTCAGCAAACCACCACACCCCCACCTCCTCCAGCTTCGTAGGCTGCAGCTCATTCTCCTTCACAATCTCCTCCCACACGCCCTCCTTTCCCTTCATCATCTCCACCAAGCTCAACCTCCCCTCACCCTCCTCCTCATAAAACCCATGCTCCTCAATCCCAAACTGCTCCGCCAACCCCTTCCAAAACTGCTTCCACTTAAACACATCCCCATTGTTTATATTAAACGCTTCGTTTGCGGCATTCGGGTCCACCGCCGCCCATATGTGCTGCTCCGCTATCAGGTCAGCGTCCGAGGCCATCGCATAACACTCCCAAGCCACTTTGCTGCCGGGAAACTTCAGGGGTTTGCCCTCTTGCTTGCATATAGCAGCGTAGACACAAAGCGTCCCAATTATGTTCATCAAGCTGTGAGGAGAAAACCCAAAAATGTTATAGGGCCTGTGGACGGACCAAGTCAGGCCCTCTTTTTTCTGGACCTCTTCAAACAATATGTCCTCCAAAGTGTAGTAAAAATTGGGCACGTCCAGCCTCGGCAGGTCCTCAGTGAAAGGCGGATCATGGGCTTTAATCTTGCCAATGCACTCGAACGGCCCAAGGTAGTGTTTGGTGCCGGTTTGGAGGCTGACGTGGCGGAGATTAGGGGCCACTGGGATCACGACACGTAGGAGGTTGCGGAACATTGCGCCGTTGGCCTCGCAATTCTCGATCTCATTGGCTCTGCTGGTCCACGTCACGTAGAAGATGTGGGTGACGTCGGTTAATTCGGAGAGCTTGGCTTTGGTGTCTTCCGGGTCCGAGATGTCGCATTGGATGTAGTCAACGGGGTGGTCAACGCTCCAATCTGGGCGGGGACGGCGCGCGACGCCGTACACCTTCCAGGGACCGCCGGGCGTGTCGTGGAGCGGGAGGATCTCCGCCAGGCTGTTGCCCACGATGCCCGTTACGCCGATCACTAGCGCCACGCTTTGGTAGCCTTCCGGTGCTGACGCATCAGCTCCTTCCAACTTTTTCTGAAAAATTCGTGACAATTCGCAACATATTTAATCAACGAATAATTGAGTAATAAATATGATGGGAAAGATCATCTAATATATGATTTAAAAAAATTGAATTGAATAATGACCTTAGCGGCGCCAACAGCTCCCGCCCACCACCAGCTCATTTTGGTTTCTAGGGTAAGAAATCAAAAGACTCCACTCTCCAGCAGCAGCAGCTAACAGTCAGTGGTTGATCCAAAATACACCCAAAATGGAAATTGGAGAGTTGTATTTCTTCTTCAGCTTCTCTTTCTTTTTTTCTTTTTTTCTTTTTTATATGTATGATAGAAAGAGAGAGGGGAGGGAGACAAAGGTTCCATGTTTTCGACATATGACGCAAGGTATGACATGTTGTGTGTAAATATGTGGTTCCAATTCGTGCCAAGTGTTTGTTTGCATGTGGTCCTCCTCCTAGCTGCTTCGTTTACGTTCTAGTCTTGTACACCTACACTCCACCTCCTCCATTCTTCCACAATCCGTCGCCGTATTGGGCTTTAATGTTGTTAGTACCTGATTGCAGGTTGATTAAGCTTTTATTTATTTTAAAACAATTTGTTTC